AAAAAAAAAAAAAAAAAACCATAAACAGAAACAGAACAGAGCACAACAAAAAACAGAGACGCTACGTATCGGCCCATGTATCGGATTCAAGCCATTACGTACCGGGACTTTGACGTTACGGACGCGAAATTTATTCTCACCGGTATACTAGTGAGTATCCAACTCGGCACTCCAATTTTCCGGTGTACCGGCCGATATTTAGAACCTTATTCCTTCCCTGATTTCTTCAACCCCTCAATGTACCTCCTCTGCCAGTCCTGTAACGGATCACCACCACCAACCACCACCAACGTCGCCGGAAACTTCACCGCCGCCGACATATCACCACCACTCACCGCCTCATGGTTTCGGTCCGATCCTATTGGCAAAAACAACCTCCACATCCGGTCACATACAGAAATGGAACTCTACTGAGCCGGAGTTCCGATTCACTGTGCTCTTTTCCACCGAAGAATGGCTGTATCTCTACCAAACCAATAATATTCAGCTTCTCAAACTCGTGTCGGCCGTATCTGACAGCCACGTAGTGGGCTATGTTGCCGCCGGCGCTGTCGCCGGTGAGAAAACAATGGTTGAGATCAATGTTGGAGGGTAATACGGCATAGTTATGAGCGTCGATGAATTTGAGGGTTGCAAAACCGTCGTCGTATTGGGAAGGGTAGCGGTGGTTGGGGGCGAGGCGGTAGTTGACGGAGGCGACGGTGACTTGGAGATGAGCGGCGAGGTTGCGGCAGAGAAGGTCGTAGGTTTTGGAATTGGCGGCGGAGGAGAGGAATCCGCCGCCGTGGAAGTAGATGAGTAGAGGGAGGAGGGTGGTGGTGGAGGAGGAGGAGGGGAGGTAGAGGTGGAACCAGAGATTGCTTGAAGGATCGACGGCGATGTCGGAGGAGGAGACTCCATTGTTGGGTTTGGAGGAGGGTGGAGATTTGGGTTCAAGGTTGCGGACGAAGCGGAGGATGGGGTGGGAGAGACGGCAGGCGTCGAGTGCGAAAGAGCCCAAGTGGACCACTAGGCGGGTCTTCCCTGGAAGCTCAGCAGCAACAGCAGCACCACATGAACTCTGTTTAACGTCCATTCCTCAATCCTGTCTCCTCCTCACAATAATGGAAGAATAATACTAAGAGTGATGAAAAATATCATAAAACGCATTACGAAGGTTTTTCATTTCTTAATTAGTACGTTGTGTTTTATTTTAAATATAATTAAAAAATAAATAATCTTTCATAATTATTTTTATAATATTTTTTTTATGATACCTAGAATTACGCATAAAATTTATGCTCGACCATAATTTTACACCTCATGTAGTTTAAACTTCAGTTAGTTATGAAATTTCATGCATGTGATTGGTATTTGTTCAGTTATTGAGTTTTTTTGTTATGCATACGACCTAGAAAATAAAATGAAGAAATAGGATAAATTACAAATATACCCCTAAGGAGTTGTATTGGTAATTTACCCAATAAAATGAAAAGAAAAACAAATAAAAACTATAAACAAGTAGATAAACTGTAATAAAGAGCACAGTTTTGATTGATTTTTTGAAAATTAATTTTTTTTATTGATTTTTTTAATATTTTAAATAATTTTTTTGCTTTCTAAATGCACATAACTTAGATACACTTAAAAAGTAAAATATTTTAAAATTTCAATAAATACACAACAATACGAAAATGCACTGAATTTTTGTCTTTTTTTTTTGTATTTGATGAATTTTTTAAAGATTTTTTTACAAATATTATACTTTTCAAGTTTATTGAGAGAAGGTGTGCATCTAATTTTTTTTTTTTAAAACAAAAATTCTTAAAATATTAAATTTTTTGATTAAAAAAAAAAATCTGAAAAGTGGGTTCAATTTTTTAAGCCAACTATATTTTGACAATTAGAAAAAAAAAAACTAACTTATTGACTTATTTGAGTCACATCACCTCTATACTTTTTTACACATTTAAAAAAAAGGTTAAAAATTAGTTTTTTTCCTACTTCTCAAAATAGACCCAAATAAACAACTTATTTGATTATTTTATTTTATTTTTTGTGCCAAAACCTTTTTATAAAAAAAAAAAAAAAAAAAAAAAAAAAAGAAGCCAAAAACCCTCATTTCTTAACTTTTAAATAATTTTAATTTTTAAAAAATTATTTGTACTTAATAAGCTGTAAATAAAAATTACACTAAATAGTTTGTCATATATTCTCAAAAAATAAAATGAAGAAATAGGATAAATTACAAATATACCCTTAAGGAGGTGTATTTGTAATTTACCCGATGAAATGAAAAAAATAAAAATAAAAACTATAAACAAGTAGATAAACTGTAATAAAGAGCACCTACATTTTGTTTGGTTTTGATTGATTTTTTGAAAATTAATTTTTTTATTTTTTTTTTATGTTTTTTTAATTTTTTTAATTTTTAGTGAATTTTTTTAATATTTTAAGTAAATTTTTTACTTTTTAGATACACATAATTTAGATACGTCTAAAAAGTAAAATATTTATGAAAAATATTTTAAAAATTCAATCAATACATAAAAATGCAAAAATATATTGAATTTTTATATTTTTGTATTTGATAAATTTTTTAAAGATTTTTTCGCATAATACTTTTTAAGTAAATCTAAGTTTAAGTGCATTTAAAAAATAAAAAAAATCCTAAAAATTAAATTTTTTTACTAAAAATAAAAAAATACAAAAAATATAAAACTCAATTTTCTAAAATTAAACATATCGCTTATAGTATATACATAAATGTATGCCTTCTTGCATGAATCTCATATGATCCTATTCTTGGTGTTGTGTCCTTGTGTAATCCTTTCAATTTGGTCATTGCAGTAGCCTTGTCTTTGCTAAAGATTGTTTAGCTGGATGATGGTTCCTTCGTGGGCTATTCCTTTATTAAATGCTGATATATATGTCTTTTTCCTAAATATAATTGAATTCATTCTTTTCATACTGAAAAATATTTAAAAAATTCCATCTTGTGTGTTTTCTTAGATTTACAATCCCATTGTTTTATTATGTGAATCATTTTGTTTTGTGTTTCAGTATTGTTGGGTTGAAATAGAAATTTGGTGATGCAATTGACTAATTGGATTAAGATTACGTTTACTTTATCTTAGCCATAAAGAGAAACTTTGAAAGTAAAACTGAAGATAAAATTTGTTTTCATTGATTGGTGATATGAGGATAAGAATTTAGCGTAGGATTAAGACAAAGAACACAGTCCAGAGAAAGAGAATGTTGGTTGTCTATTTATTTGTATTATTTCATCAGGTGGTGCTCTCCATACTCGAACTATCTGTAATCTCTCATATGAGTATATATTTATGTGATGAACGTGAAGTTTGAATGTGGGTGCTTGCAAGTGGAGGTGAGAGTTTTGAACCTAACTTGCGATTGATGTGCTAACTTTTTGTTAACTTTATTATTGGCAATGATTATAATCTGTTAGCTTTTTATTTTGGGTTAGTTTCTTTATTTTTTTGACTGATTCCAGTGTTTTTTTGTAGGAGCATTGGCCAGCTTGTTCCTTGAAATAAGCATTGGCCTATGAATGAGTTATCCAATATTTTGATGGTTTTTTTAACATTTTTTGGGTTATGGTTTGTGGTTAAATATAAATAGCTAGGAAATGTTACAATTTTTCTTCTATTGTTTGTCAAATGTAAAATTTTAGCGATCTGGAAGAGGAATTAAACTTATTTGGTTTATTTTTAGTTTATGTGCTTCTGTATAGAATCTTGGACTTTTTAGATTTGACCTTATTTAGCTAATAGTGCAATTTGACAATTGAATCCTTTTTTTTTTGGGGGGGGGGGGGGCGGGGGAGAGTGTACATACATTGCAGTTACTATCACCAGCAGCAGCAGGTTTTGGAGAAGCAGAGGCTGCATTTATGAAAAGAATTCATCGGAGCTTCTAAATACACTCGCTTATTTTCTCTCTACACACACTATATGCATTGTATATCTTGTATGTTACGAAGAAAAATTTGTGGATATAGGTATAGAGATGAACATGGCGGGTGTGTGGTGGGTTTAGAAACTCCCAATTGCATCATTTAAAACGAGGATTATATATGTTGTTTTACAGCATTATCCAAATGAAATTGTTTCTTTTGAAGTTGCAACATTTTTTCCATTTTGTTTTCCATAGCATTTAAAACAAGTACTCTGTTTTATGTAAAAAAATCATTTACAGCATTGTATGAGAATATCACCAATTATATTTATTTTCGAAAATGGATCCATTCTGTTTTGCAATCATCCAAGTCTGATTGGAGCTTTCTTTGCAATGACACTATACTAATGATGCATTTGGTTCTCTAGATGCCATGGAAATAGAAAAATCCATGGTATTTAATAATGCAAATATTACCCATAATAGTGATATGGATTGCTTATGTCGTAATAAAAATTATCTGTACAAAATATTAATTTTGGCACATATTGATAAATAAATGAACAAATCACATTTTATTTTATAGAATAGGGGATTATAGTTGTCGCCTATTTAAAAAATAAGATTAATTTATGCATATCTCTAGTGACATTTGATAACAATTAATTTTTTTGTACAATTAATCTTTATTGTTGGCCTTATGAAATAAATGGTTTAAATCATTGTTATGAATTCAAGATAAGACCTACAAAATAGAGTATAAAGTGATATAATAGATAGTGATATAGAAATGAGTTATTCTCATTATACATTGGCTCCTCCGTTGCCCAGCATAATTGATGATGAACCCAATCAAGAATGAGAGAGAATTTAGAGAGAGAAATATCTCAGTTAATCAATATTCATATCTAGAAAGTTAGTTACAAAGTGGTTGTCATGACTCCATTCCGCCCCTAGTAGAATGGTGCCGTGATGGCTAGTAATCCGAGATTACCAAAGGCCAACTTACAAGAATTCACACACAATCAGAGTATATATATATGGGGCTAACATGTGCGGAATCAATAAATTTAAATCTGATTAGTCCATAAGAGCTGTTCGTAGAACGAATGGAATGTCATACATCTTATCAAGGTCTTACAACTTGGATACAATAAAATGAAATACAAAATACATCTTGACCAAAAGGCTTCTCAAGCCACCATATACAAAACACAATGAATTACAAGCTAAGAAGCATAATCTTCAAGATGCTACAAAATGCGAGTCCAAAACAAGTTGCAAAGCACATCTAGGCGTCACCGCCGTCCTGCTCATCACCTACATATATATAGAAAGGGTGAGCTTGGATACTCAGTGAATGGTACAAGTAATAAAGGGTTTGCATGCATGATATCCAAGACCTTTAACAAAACAATACATAATCATAGCTTGTAACCAACAAGGGAGGAATCAAGTTCATCTAACAAATCTTTCGAGCTTCATCAATCAAAGTCTTTTAAGGCTTTCAAGTTCCAAGGGGTGACGTTAACAAAGGTTGTGCTACAAATGCTTATAG